AGACGGAATGAGAACTCGATGCGCGTTCGATATGATTTGTTGGCTGATCGCAACAAAGATGAGTTTGTGAGAATGACGCGAGGCACGTGCAGTTTTTCGCGTGTGAACCGTACCGGTATTCTTCCAGTTCTGCTGGGCTATCGGCGCAGGACAACACGTGAGCACCGAGAGTCCTTTTTTGCACACCTCGGTGATTTGCGGTTAGACATCGCGCAATACAGGTGCGTGTTATGATTGGTTTCGCCGAATTCGCGTGATATTTCGTGGAACGAGCAGCGCGACGGAATTTCGCGAGACCTCGTCCACACTCGGGAAACCTCGGCCGCGCGACGGTGCGCGAGCGCGTTGATTGAATTCCAAACAGTTATATTACCACATTATAGTTGATAACAAAATTTTTTTTATTAAAAATGTATGACAACTAACAAAGTTATGAGAGCTTCTTCCCACTCTGTTGGCGACGCACTTGTTTCGCGGCGGGCAACGTACAGTCGTTTCGAGAAAAACACGTTTAAAGTTTTCGGTGAAGATAAATAACAGTTTTCGGATGCTTACAGCTGTTTCATCCTAATCCGCTATACCAGGCCCATACATTAGACCCTCCTCTTCCTCAAACTCTATAAGTAAGATCGCATTCTTTTCCTTCCTTGCAATTCGTGCCTTGAAGCTGCGAAGCTCTTGTCTCTTCAGTCGCTGCGCGTCGTACACGTTGGCGAACATCTTACATTGTTGCCCAATCCTAAGTCCAACTCTTGCATCAATTGTAGAACAAAACTGTATCCCTCGTTAAATTGTCCAGCAGCTAAGAAGGAAGCAATTTCAACAATTTTGAAGCCGCAATTTAGATGCTTAGGTACCAGTCGCCACGGTGGAATTAAAACTCTCATTTGCGTTCTGCGTATAGCCCCCTAAGCATCTTTCTAACAAATCCAGACGCGACAAATCTTTATAAATTGGAAGAATTTTCTTTTGAACATCCGGACGAAGTGCAGGTGGGTGTCTGTGGTTTTTTATATCACCTGCAGCCTTTGCGATGCGCTATTTACACCACGGGTCAAATCCTGCGGGACAGTTTTGATGGAGCGGCTTTTTGTCGGTGGAAATCATATGAAAAAAAGTGGCCATTATAGCCTTCTGCATTTCGTCGATTGATTCGGAATTCCTTCTTATGGCTAAACCATAATACTTTGTCAGTTTTCTAATAAGGGCCTCTGTTAGTTTTCCTTTTCCTCCAAGATTGGCAGATTTTCTGACAGTTCGCAGGCGATTTCCCATCCTTTTCCCGACGTGACCAACGCATTCACTTTTTATTATTCTGCAATCATCGCCATAAGGTTGTACGTCTAAAATTGCTTTCAATGTCTTCAAATCTCTATCTCCAATATAATTTGTGTATTTCACTTATAACGGACCGAGAAACGGAGCACGTCGCGCTGCGTCGCGCGCTTTCTGATATATCTGCGTCTCTACTCCGTAACAAAAACGGCTGTAGCAGGTTTAATTTTTTTGAATTTCGTTCTGTGGTTTTGGGAGGACATTTTCGAGGTGTTAAACTAGCGATTTATGAAGGGAAAAAATCGATTCTTTTGACCCGCTACACCAGGCTCCCTTCTTAATCCTAAACAGCTGTCCATAAAGATACTTCCTTCTAGTATACGAGTAATGTTACAAAGATTACATATGCAATTAATTTGATTGAATTCTGTCGGTCTAAAATGATCGTTAGCATCGGAAAACTTTTGATTATTATTCTTACTAGTCCAAGTTTTACATATAATAAACGATCTGTGGCCGCCCCTAAATTTGACCGCCCAGGTGCGGGGACACCATCTGTACCCCCGCCAGAAACGGCCCTGAAAGCATGTAAACCAGAATAATCATGATTTTTATCGATTCTTTCACTTAAATTACATTTTTCTTACAATCTTAAAGGGGTAGTTATATAATGCGGCTAGATTTAAATTTAGCGTGTCGAAATCTATAGGAAATGATGTATAACAAGTTATGGCAGAAATTCAACCCAATTAAGTTTAACATACATTTCCGAGGTCAAAACTTGCATATGATACTATGTTCTTTATTGTCTCTGATTCAGCAATCTCTTAGCTTTAACCTCAAAAATGATTCATCCTTGTATCTGTTGGAATGGATGATAATAGTAAGAAAGTGTAGGTGACTGAGCGACGTGTCAAGAGCCTGAGGTGACAACATTTGGGAGGTCGTTGCCCGAGCCACTTGTATGCGTGTCGTGTGCGTGAGCGTGAAATTGCGTTGCTTTGATCAACAGCTGACGAATAGATCGCGAAAAAACGAACGGCCGATGGCCCGCGAAGTCGAGGTTAATAACTGCGATCTATCGTCAGCTCAGGATTAGTAGCTAGAGTGAGAGAGAGAATGAATGTCGCGGGATTGTATATCTTGTTGTGTGAAAGGGAAGTATGGGACATTGTATTCGAAATTGGGAGAGAAAATGAGAACTGTCGGCGGACTGGTAGCCACTAGCGACTTATAGTATAATCATAAAATATATATATTATTTTACATAAGACGGGTTCCAGTTATTCAATTTAAACCGAGATACCTACATATCTGATTTCTATCAAAAGTTCTACGATTTTGAGACAAAAATGAGCAGCTTGTTCCATTGCCCGCCGCGGCTCGTTTACCTGAAATAGTCCAGCCGAAATAGACTTCAAAACCCCCATTTTGAAAAATAACTTTAAGTACCTATGTTTTTACATGAAAATGTTCGGAAAGTCATTAGAAATGAAATGTATACGTTTAAGACTCATGAAAAGTTAGGAAACATTGTTAAAATAATTCGAAAAGATTTGAGTAACATGTTTTTCAAATAAGAAATTTAGGTATTAGAAATACCTACAAAGTGATATATAGTACGTTAAAATCGGTCCACACGTTAAGTAGCAAAAGAATTAAAACTGTTGAAGTAGGCTGTTTTTTCAGTTGTAGAGTGTCTCCCGTGTTTGTCAATAGTCTAGCCAGGGCCCCTGCCGTCTTGATGGCTTTTTCGCAGGTCCTGTCTATGTGAGCCTTGTACATCCGGTTGTCTTCTAAAATTACCCCCAGGTATTTGACTTCTTTTTTGTTTTGTATGCATATGTTTCCTATTTGAAATTCCAGCTGTCTATTTAGTTTTCTGCCGGTAAGTAGGATTATTTCCGTTTTTTCCTTTGCTAATGTCATTGCTTCATTTTCAAACCATTTTTCTATTGTTTTAGTCGCATTGTTTACCTTATTAACTATTTCGTCCGTGTTTCTTCCGTATATTATCAATGCGACATCATCCGCATATCCTAATATTTTGGCTCCTTGGGGTAGCTTTATTTTCAGCAGGGAGTCATAGACCAGATTCCATAGAATAGGTCCCAGTATAGATCCCTGTGGGACCCCAGCATAGACACTTTTCTTGAAGAATTTATCCTCAACCTGGTATACAATCTCTCTATTCCTCAAATAATTTTTTAGTACACCTGCGAGTTTCGGGCTAAATTTTCTACTGACGATGGCTTTCTCTATACTTGATTTCTGTGTAGTATTGAAGGCGTTCTCAACATCCAGCGTCACTAATATACAGTGTAAGTTTTTTGCATTTGCTTCATTCCAGGCTTGTACCGCGCTAATGAGCGTATGTGTGGTCTATTTTCCTTTGCGGAAGCCGAACTGGTTCTCTTCGAAACATGTTTCCTCCAGAATTCTGTCCTTCATAGTACGTTCCATGATCTTGGCTAGGTTGGATATCATGTTCAGGGGCCTCCAATCTGCTGGGGACCCCCTCGCTTCCCCCTTCTTTGGTATTAACACGAGTTTTCCCGTCTTCCATCTCTCCGGGAAGTATCCAAGATCATAGTATGCATTGTACATGTCCGATAACATACCTGGCCTCTGTTCCGCTAGTATTTTTGCTATTTTACTGGGTACCCCGTCTATTCCCGGCGCCTTTTTTTCGCTCAGACTCCTGGCTATCGTTCTGATCTCCTCTGTTGTAATTTTTCTATCTTTGTTTTCCTTTGCATTTCTTGCTCTAATGCCTAGTAATACGTCTATTCTTCTTCTTTCTAGGTTCAAATTTCTCTTGTTATCTCTTGCCACCTGTGGTTTCGTGACGAATAAACCCTCTATTATTTTTTCCATATCCTCTTTGTTCAATTTATTCGGAGGTGTCCTTGGTTTAAGAGTCGTGAAGACTGCTTTGTATGGTCTCCCCCATGGGTCATCTTCGACCATATCCTGCAGTCTCTTCCACGACTCTATTTTTGCCATCTTTATTTCCCTTTTTAGAGTATCTTTTCTCGCCTTGTACTCCTTTCTTAGGCTTTCTATGATTGAGTCGTTTCTTTTCTTTTTTCTAGCCCTCTGCATTCTTCTTCTCGCATGATGACAGTCGCTTCTTAATGTTTGTAGCTCTGGTTTCCACCAGTGTGCTTTCTGTTTATTTTGTAGTGTTACTGGTAGTGTTCTTCGTGATTCATTTATTGCGTTTTCTATTGTTTCTATGAATTTGTCTATGCGGTTGCTCGTCCACTCTGTGTTGATGTTACTATTAATTTTGCTATCATAATTTTGCAAGAATTTACTATAGTTTATTGTGCCCTTGTTGTTTTTATCGTTGTTATTGTATCTGTTCCCGTTGATATTACTATTGTCATTGTTATTATTGAATTTATGTACAAGGTATTTGTGGTCTGAGCCTGTGTAACTGTCTAGTATTGTGCTGCTCTGTAGGGTTTTATACGTTTTGCTGTCTAGTATGACTATGTCTATCATGGAGGTCGACCCGTTTCTCTCGAAGGTGTGATTTAGGCCTGTGTTTTTGACCGTAATTAAGTTTAGCTTGGCGCATAGATCCAAAACCCGTAATCCTCTTTGATCCGTTCTAGCCGATCCCCAGTCCGTTGACTTAGAGTTTAGATCCCCGGCTATTATTACTTTCTTTTTCCTATTTCCAGTAATTGTTTTTTCGATGCCTTCAAGTTTTTCTGTGAATTCGTCCAGTTTGATGTTTGGGGATATGTAGCAGCTGAGAAAAACAGTTTTGTCCATCTCCACCGCTACATATCCGTCTCCTCTTTCAATTAACTTGATGCTTTTCGTTTTGTTGCCCCCCTTATCAGTTATCCATATCACTGCCATGCCTGCTTTATCTTTAAACCAATTGTCCATGTTTTTATAGGGTTCGCTTATGATTACGGCATCAATTTCCTCCTCATCTGTCACTCTCGTCATCAGATCTTGCGCCAATTTGCACCTATTTAGATTTATTTGGAGTACTTTAAACCTTTTATTGTTCATTTCTTACTGTTTAGTAGCATCCGTCTTCCTTTCCTCTATCCTTTTCTGTCTGTTTTCCTTAAATGCCCTTCTATATTCAGGGCATCTAGTGCTCCCCGTGGTGTGCCCGTCTGTCTCGCATAACGCGCATCTGGTCAACCCCTTACAATTGTCGGCGTTGTGTCCCTTTATGGTACATTTTCTACAGGCTCCACTCATGTCCTGCCCCTTACAATCCTTGGCCCTATGGTTGTAGCCCCAGCACCTGAAGCACCTGACTATCTCCTCCCTTTCTATTACGCGGCATTCGCTCCATCCGATTGCTATTCTGCCTCTGTTGAGCAGTTTAGTTGCCTTTTCTTCCGTGATAATAACGGTGACATTCTGCCTATCCCCGTAGGCAGGTCTAAGGGCTTTTATCGTTATTTCTTCCCTGTATGTTTCCGGCAATTCTTTAATTATTGCCTCTTTTACATCCTCCTCGGTCGTATTTTTATCAAGATCCTTTATATGTAGCACTTTCTTCGGTCCCGCTCTACCGATTGTTGTGGCTCTAACACCTCCGACTCTTTTGTTGACGGTGGCCTTGAATCTTTCCGCTTCTTTGTTGTTGCCTTTCACCGTGACCAGCAGGTCATCTTTCCTCGTGCTCCTTACCCCTTTTACTCTGAAGTTGTCTTTATCCAGGTGCATATTAGTTTGCAGTGTTCGTAGGGTGTCCGCATAGCTGTTTCCTCCCCCTTTTATTATTATTGTCTCTTCTTCCCTGTATGTCCTTGTTCTGCTCCTCGGTGTGTCCTTCTTTTTTCCCATGCTTTTACTACATAGCCTGCATTCTATATTTGTTCCTCTAAAAATGGTTTCTGCGATTTTCCTGGTTTTATTTATGTTTGTCTCCTTTCCTATATGTATTGCTATTTTGTTTCTTTTGTTCTTTTCTATTTCTTTCTTTAATTTCTCCATTGTATTGTATATGTGTGTTGTCTGCTGTTTTTGTTGTTGTAGTGTATCTATTTTTCCCGTTGTAACTTCTCCCCCCTCTTCTTTTGCTTTCTCTGTGTAGGTCTTTCCGATTTCCAACTGATACAGGTATCGCTCTCATTTTTCCACCCCTCCTCCTTTATTGGGGATGTATAATGTCCTGTTTAGAAAGGCTATCTTACCTGGTGTGGCTTCCTGTATTTTGAGCGCCTCATAACCTTGGAAGTAGTCTATTATCTCTTTATTGTACTCCCTATCCATATCGTCTTCGGTTAAAATGACCACGTCCCGTTCCTGCCCAGTCTTGTGAATTTTGCCATTTTCTAATCTTGTTCTTTCGAACGCTCTCTCGGGCCATGTAATATCCATAACCTTTCCTATTGTTTCCAGCTTCTGACATCTTTTTATTTCTTCTATTAACATTTCTTCCTCCAGTTCTTTGTCCTCGATTGTTTGTGTTGTACTGTCAATCCCTTTCTCCCTTTCTGCTCTCTCTGTGCATTTTGGACATGTTTGTGATTTCTGTTTCTCCATTTGTTCTCTTTCTTCCTTCATCTTTTTGATTCTATTCTTGTTTGCGTATTGTAACCTGGTAACTACTCTGACTAATTCCATTATGCCTTGCTTTATCTCCGTTGTTATATTGTCTGTCTTGTAGAGACCTTTTAGTACTTTTGCTGCCTCTACCACGTTCTTAATTTCGCTGTTAGTTTTTTCTTCTACGTCCTTGCCGTCTTCTGTATTCTCCTCCATTCTTTTCCTTTCCCAGTTTGTTTTGGTGAGAAGTCGTCGTTGTCCGTTTCAATTTCCGGTAGATTGTCTACCTTACTTAGGGTTACTTCCTTGTTTTTCCACATATCGGAGAGCGAGTGAGATCTCTCCCTCCTAGGACTCCTTATCAGTTTGCTTTTCGTCTGAAAAGGATTTTTTTGACCCGTCTGGCATTCGTCCATGTCTACCTTTGTGACTATGCGACTTTCTGTTCTTTCAATAGCTATATCCTGTGTCTGGGCCTGATTACTCACCTCAGACACTGGGCGGTTGCTGGATAACTGCCGGGGGGAGCCCGCTCGCTCACTCCACCCACCGACAGGTACTGGGGGATCCGATACCCCCTGCACCGTAGACTTTTTCCTCGTTGTAGACCAATCCATAGTTTTATTAGTATGACTAATGTTTCACTCCTCCCGTCTAGTCTGGACGAGAAGAGGGGAACGTAGAAAGCCTGGGGAGCGTGTATTAATGTGAGTGAGTGTGTGTGTGTGTGTGTGTGCGCGCGCGCGCGCGCGTGTGTGTGTGTGTGTGTGTGTGTGTGGGCGCGCGCGCGCGTGCATGTGTGCATGTGTGTGAGGGCCCGTTACACCAGGGAGATGGTTTATCCATCTGTCCTGGGCGCGGGTATCCCTCACTGTGTTTGTTCATGTTTAGTGTAGGTGTACTATTGCTTGTGTGTGTGTGTGTGTGTGTATATGTATTGGTGTAAGTGTTAGGTATGTGGGATAGGAAAAAGGAAGAGAAAGGGAGTGGAAATGGAAGTTACAAGCCGACGGGGCCATTCATCCCTTCAGCACGTTACCTTACACCTTGGGATTATCGACCTGCATGCCTCTTACGTCGTTAGCAGTCCTCCACGCATCCACCTTACTAAAAGGTTTCTCTTTTTTCAGGTTTCAACGCAGAGGACTCCCAGGGGCACCACGAGGAGGTGACGCAAGAGGACTCGACCGGGTCGGGCCCTCCAGGATCCCCGAGGGCAGCCGCTAATGATCCACCGGAGCCGAAGCCCAGGTGAGTATCGCATAGCATGCTGCCGTCAGTTCACCTTTTGGTTTTTGACTTCCAGGTACACCACCTGGAAGAAAACCCTCACCGGCCTCTGCCGATCCCCTGGAAAAAGGGGGACCGTTCCTACCCAGGGGCCCACAGTCCGGAAAAAGACAAATGACTAAAATAAAATCAAACGCCAAGTTCCAGCCTGTAGACACCAAAGGTCACAGGGACCCCACCCTGAGAAAAATGTAACTCTAACCTAACCTAAAAGTTCATTTTAATTTACTCAGAAATGAAGTTGAACTTCACTCATTTCATCATTAATCCTACAGTTTTAAAAGTCTACTAGATTATTTATCGTTGTTTTTTTATTATGATATCCCGCTTAAGAAAATTCTGCAGCTTCGTATTCGTTTGGATTCATTAACCGTATCTTGATCTTTCTTTTTCATCATTTCATTGCAACAGGAAACAACAGGACGGGGATGGACTGCGTCTGATGAGCCTCTTGCTTCCGTGCGAAGAGTGTGAATGAGTGTCTCCATATACTTTCATTCTAACGTTAAAATGCACACGCATTTCTGAATACAATAATTTTGTAAATTGAAGAAACCGACTCCGCATCATATATTTTCATCTCAAAAACTTTCTAGATTCGAAATGTGTGTCGAGAAAGAAATCAAGATTGCTATTTTTAGCATTAGAAATCGTGTCAATTACATTAGTGCATATTCAAAATTTGTGTTATTTATTTTTCAGAATATAACAAATTGAACAGCTCTCTCTTGTATAGAATTTTTTCTGATAAAAATGGTTTCTGATATCACTGAGCAATTCCCTGTATAACAAAACTTCAATAATAATAACGTCTTATTATTTTTGAACTATAACTAACGTTGAGTCTGATATTGAAAGGTAACCTCCTCATTTATGTTACCTAATTATTTATATCAAAAGAAGGGTTTCATAATTTTCAATTCGCTTGTATCAAAAACTTGAAATAAAATTGTTATTCGAGTTTAATTATGAAATGATAGACTGAGTCATTTAGTGATCGTCTGAAGTTATTTACATAAGATCCTACATCAAAAACACTGCAGCATTTGCTACATAATTCCCAGTTTTGTATAATCTGACATTTCCATGTCTCAAACCGATTATATAGATGTCGGATGGCAGGAATACTTCCAAAGACATGGACGTCTGCCGATACGTGAGGTATGGTAAATTCACTAATTATTGCAACCTACTACATCTTACTGAGTTAATATAATTAATAATATAACCATATACTAAGTATTATAATACAATGTAGTAACTTAATATACCGAATAACTCGTTATTCAATTATGTGTTAAACACGCATTACATTTGACTCCAATAACATTAAATTCCGACTTAAATTTATTTAAGTTTACGGAATGAGGCTATATCAGAAATTGTTAAGTTCCTTTCTGTATTCCTATAGGATGATTGCTCGTATGTTTGGCAAGTACCCGCCCAAAACCGCTGCGAATGGGTGAAGACAATTCACGATTGCAACACAGATTCCGTATTCCAATACACAGAGCTCCTATTTTGCACTTTTAATTCGGATAATAAACTTCTGTTCAGTGTTGGATTGATGCCCATGGTTCTATGGCTGTTATATATGTTTCTGATGCTCGGAACCACAGCAGACAACTTGTAAGTAATGAATTTTAAAGTGAAGATAAAAATATAACTTAATTATCATAGTAGCAGTTATTATTGGCGTTTTGTTGGGCCTTCGTTGCAGTATTGGTTGGCCAACAATTAAAATTGTCACCCTTTTTTGCAAGTGAGCCAACGATCATACCCAACGTTGGGCCTACGTCACTATATTACGAAGCGCCAACTGGAGGTTTCTTTCTGTAGGGCCAATTGTTGACTATCTACAATAAACCAACAATAGGGAGACAGTTAGCTATACTACACTTCCATAAAAACCTTTAAAAATATTTGAAGAAGTATAACACCAGAAATAATATTTATAATAATTATATACATGTATAAATTGTATATGTACATTAAACAGTTAACTAAGTGTTTTACCAGCAAAGTTACCTTTACAATTTATTGTGTACAATTTATACATGTAGGAGCGTTGGATGGAATGTCCCGATCCCACACTCGGCTATCTCGCACTGACATTCGCCCTCGAATGTCTTCTGCGTACGTCTTCGTTCCTTGTCTTTTTCGGGTAACACTCTCCCACTTTTCGGCTTTTGAGAGACGTGACCCTCTCTTCGTCATCGTCGTCGTCTCGTGTGGTCGTAGATTCCTCCATCCCGGACGGGCCCCCTAATGTAGGAGCGTTGGAAAAATGAGAGGGCCCAAGCGGGATTCGAGACCCCACGATTCTCGGCGCCGAAAGCCGAGACTCTGCACGCTGCTCCACGGAGCACTCCTATTTTCCACTGATGTTATTTGTTCCTTTTTGTTGGGTATGGAGGTCCCGATTCCCACATACACGTAGGTAATTATTACAAATAATTATTTAAGTTATTTCAAATCTTCTGTCCCCTGACCCTATTTTCACAAAATGTCAAATGTCAAACATGTTGCGCGACAGTAACAAATTGTGAGTATATTCATAAGTACCGAAAACAAAAAAATCAATTTGAAATATAATAACAAGTTTTTGGTTGTTGCAACGTTTCTAACGTCTTTAAGACGATATTTCAATGTTAGCAAACTTTGGGTGGGCCATTGTTGTATTATCGTTATAAATTTCTTGTTAATTAACCAACTATAATAATTGTAGGTCCAACGTTGGATATTCGTTGGCAAGTTGTCATAACTTTTCGTCGTAAACCCTATTTTGGGAATTTGAAGGCAAAAACACTAACCATATCCCAACTAACTCCCAACTGTTGGCCACCGTTGACTAACCATAAATGCTACTAGGGTAATTAATTCGTGCATCATGGAATTAGTTAAATATTGTCTAAGAAAATAAAAAATTAATTAATAAATGGCAGTGTAAATTGTACTGAAGAATGGTGTTAAATCTTGTTAATGTAACGTCTATGTATCTACATATTCATGTAGATATAAAGTCTAATCCGGGAAAAATGCATAGTCAACATCATTTTTGTCCCCAAAACCATTCATACTGATTCTTATAGATTCTTCTGTGCTGAATACGAATCCGTAAACAGCTTGTTGTCATCACCCTCAGTTTCCGAGAAATTTGATTTATTAAAAAAATGCAAATTTGAAACTTTGAACATTTCCTGTGTTCAAACATTAATAGTTCCTCAATTGATTGTTGCGTCAAATTATTCTGTAAACTCTCCCGAATAAAATGGTATACGTTGTTGTCGCATTGTCAACATTTAAACATGTTTAAACAACGATCAAAGAGAAAAGGACACCCAAAGTGCACTCATTTTCACAGATATTTTTCAATTTATTTCCAAAAGTAAGGGTGCAGGACATAATCTGGCTGCGTCAGCAGATACAGTAAACATTTATCTTCTCGGAAGTATTAATAGAAATGATAAGACACATCTTGTGTTCCATACAGAAGCGAAATAGTTTAGTAAAATCTGCGAGCGAAAGTCCAACGCTTGCACTTTATTTAATTTTATTCGGGAGAGTTTACAGAATAATTTAACGCAACAATCAACTGAATAACTATTAATGTCTGAACACAGGAAATTTTCAAAGTTGAAAATTTGCATTTTTTAAAAAAAATGAAATTTCTTGGAAACTGAAGGTGATGGCGAAAAAGATGGCAGCAACTGGATGTTCGAAGGCAAACAAAAAGTTAAATTTTGTTGACCAGTGCGATGAATTGATACATTTAACACTATGGACGACTGGCTAGTCTCTGAGTAATTTTCACATGTGATCGATTATTTCTATCAAGAATAAACAAAATATAGATCCTGCTATATATGTCAAGAAAGCACAGTAACTTTGAATATCTGGAAAGTATATGTTATATTGTCAATACTAATAACCCTTGAAACTGATTTCTACAAGCCTTTTTTAAACTTAAAAATATTAAAGTGGGCTGTTTAAGAACAAAAAAGTTTACAGAATACTTTTTAAGGGAAATACAAAAACTCATCGTATTTACAACAGAATGGTAATAGTAGTAAATTGTCTTGCTTTAATAATGTTAATTAATGTTTTGAAAGAAAATAAGTGTGGATCATTCCAGTTTTACAGTTAATATTTAATCATTTATTTTTAATTTGTTCTACTTCATGAGCAGAATGTTGCATTTGATAAAGGAACTTCTTGTACATATTATGCTCTTGACGTATTCTTGCATCTCGTGTTAACACCTTCAGACTCATAAAGCCTCGTTGACATGTTATGTACAAAAAAAAATATATTTTATCGAACAATATTATGGTCGCTACATTTTATGCATCTCACCGTGTGTATTTCGAAAAAACGGTGCGAACGATCGAAGAATGATTGATAATAAAACGGTTATTGCAAGAATGAAGTCACTATGATTTTCAATAAACTTGGCATCGACGGTCACACGTCGTGTAAAGTTTTTCACGGCACATTGTGTTCAATAAAAAGTGAATTATAGCTCATCGTACGCGCACGAATTGACATATCCTCACGTGGAAACCGATTCTACTTTAATCCAGACGATCGAGGAAGCTTTATTCCTGTCATTAAAAAGAAACCATTCCTGTCCGCACTGTAGTGGAGAAACGCTTCCAAACCTAATAAAATTCGAACATGTAGGCGATAATAATATCGGGATTCCACGTTGTCCGTCAGTCACATAATTTAAGTGCAGCGTAAGCAGTTACACTCTGTTACCAATCTTGATAACCAACGGGTGTGGCTATAAGAAACGTGGACCGAAATGGTCGAAGCCTTATAAATGTTCTGCAAATACATGTTATGAGGTGTTTCCTTGAAAACTGTTCAGATAACAACAAAGTTTGTCTTTGTTTCTCATGCTTCAGTAGGACCTTTTATTCAAGGTTGAAAAGGTTAGTCCATTTTAGAGCCCAAAAATGAAAGCTACTACTTGGCAATTTTTTTATAAAAATAATAAAGTAAATGGAACATCTATTAAAATTAGAAGTGTGTGGATCGAGATGGAAAAATTCGAGCGGGATCGGGCGGAATCCCGAAACTCACGTATTACTCGGAACTCCCGAAACTACCGTATTACTCGGGACTCCCGAAACTTTCGGGCTCCCGAGACTCAACTCGGGCTTGAGCATGGACGGGCAACCCGACTTCGGGACGGCTCGACAAGAATCGGACGTCATCGGTTCGAGAGCCCGAGATAATGTACACGAATTTAAGGCTATCTATGACATTGAATATGATTTACATTTTCACTGCAATGTGCAAAATTTGTGAGAATTGGTTTATTTTATAATTGAAGTTAATTCTTTCTCTTTTTGCGTTCAGTAACATAAGTGTCCGGTGACTTCCGGACGGGAATGTGCATACTAGTTCATAGTTTCGTATAACAGTGTTATAATATCACGGATTCGTATAATATGGCAATTTTTGGGAACCTAAGCATCGTATCATACAGCGGTTATCTGTATATTCTTCGTCAGTTCTTTTCGCGATTCAAACAATATGTATTCAAGTATTAACTGCCCAGTCCGTAATTTATCGACCCAATAGAAAAACAGCACTTTGAAATCCAACCACATCTAAATTAAATTCACAATAAAGAAAATTCCGAGTTTTTTACAACTATACTTTTATATTTTTCTTCTTAGCCATATCTTACCGTCAAAAACAGACACACACTCAAAACATGTTGTACGAGTTCCAATTTTCTCCATTCTTTCTGTCCATATAGTTTCTGTCCGTCACTGGCGGTAATAGCCAGTGTGATGCGATTGTCGGATAATATAGCGGGGGTGACAATATTGGCATTCGGAAACGGTGCTCCGGATATCTTTACGTCCCTCGTGTCCGGCAACGAAGAAGGGATAATAATGTTCACGGAATTAATCGGCGCCGGTGTCTTCGTGACGACTATGATCGCCGGATCCGTCGCAGTGGTCAAGCCTTGTCGGATCTACTTGAAGTCACTCATGAGGGACGCCTGCTTTTATATCGTGACCGTGTGCTGGATCACATATGTCGTGAAAGATCACACTATTCACCTTTGGGAAGCTTTTAGTACGTATACAATGTTTGTTCTAGAGCAGAAAAAGGAATTGGCTAATCAGCTACCGACCTGGGATGCGAATCCGCAATTCTTCGCTTTTCGGGTGACTGCTTTAACCAACTAACAAGGAATGTTCGCGCAGTGATACACGCCGTTTTTTCAGTGTCTTTGCTCAATTGTTTATGGCACCAACCTACGAATTCTGTTGTACTTGATTGGTGCTACCTTTAGACTGTAAGGGAACCTTAAAGTTAAAGTCTAAGGTTCACCTTAAGGTTCTACCCACTTTCTATTTGTAGCGTAACTTTTACTTATTCGCTTGTAATTTGTAAACTACAAATTATATCGAAAGAAGGTGTAAATTTTATATTGATTTTAGAGTAAATATTTAGAATAGGGGAGAGAAATCCGATGGCCTTGACCTTGACATATGTTGTTATGGTCATCCTCCTGAGTGACCTTGAGAAAGTGTTAGCCGTCGCTTAGTATTTGTTAAACAGTTATTAACAAATAAAGTTCACAATACAGTAGACATTCGTTTCCTGGGCTACCGTTACTGCACGGAAGCCACGCCACTTGCTCATACGTATTTCACACACACGTGTGCGTACCCTACTCTGTCGCCCAGCACGCCCAGGCCGGAACACATAGGGTGTCGCGTTTAACACGCATATCTCATCACAGAAAGCGAAATGTATATAATACTGTTTTAATAATGTTTTTATTGGTGCAATGAATATTGGTGGAATGAATAGTGGTGGCAATTTAATTGCTTCTTGTCTCGCGGATCACACATAATGGGTAAAAGATGCTAACCAAGGTAGACATTTGCCACTAAAATATGTCACGAATTATTACCTTCTTCACATAATACCTTAATACTTTATTACACAGAATGTTTGGAAGAATCGATTTATGTAATAAAAGTATTTTATTCCATAATATTTCAATATCACTAATAAAAATAATATAATTAATTTTGAAAACTCAGAACATACTCTACCTACGAAAAACTTGTTACTGCTAAGTAATAGCCCTTTTCATTTTGAACAACTTCTGTGAATAAACTTTTCTGATAACTCTAAAAATAACGGAGATAATTAATGTAACCATAAAATATGCATATCCAGCCCACCCTATATGTAGGTGCGTCGCACGACGTGGTGGCGAAAGCGCTCGGGTAACTGGTCACCGATTCCTGCACGGTTCCTAGAATTCTGGCCCTCTACAGACCCGACTAGTGCGGGAAACGAATGTCTACTGTATAATGGTGTATGTTCAAATTTGTTTCATTTTTACCTAGTATAAACATTATATGTGTGAGCCTGCGGGAATAGATTAACAGATATTGTGGTGAACGGAGGAAAATTTTGAAATTGAGGAAAGAAATGAACAAACAATTTGCGTTACTGTTACCTCATTTAATTCATGTGTGCTACACGTGCTTCGGCACGCGAACTGGACGTCAACAGACGAACTGACAAGATGCGACAAGACAAGAAGAAGGATACACAGCTCGAACGATAAATATATACAAACGCGAGGGGGGTACTATCGAGCACGGAGATGAGGGGGAACAAAATGCGAACCGCGGGCCATCTATTTACGCGATATAAGTGACTACGTTATCGACGCTGGTCGCCGTACCATTATATTATTAGCATATTTACTTCTTTAACCCTTTCGCTTCGGCAGTCCAGTCCGCCGAAGTGTCGTCCGTACGGAAGCACGCGCCAGAAATGTGCATTATAAGAATTATACCTTGAGCCGATCTATTCCTAATTCTTATAGAACACGATGTGTATTCGTAGAAAAATGAATATAATCCGATAGATCCGTAAGATCCGATAGATATTTTGGATGCGGTTTTGATGTAACACCAAAGAGTAGGTGTAATATGTGATTAATCCAATATATCAATAAAATCAATACAAAATGTTCTGCCAATAACGAAGAATTTGTCATTGACCACAGATGGTACTTGTATACACATCATATGGATGCCGGATATATCCGGCGCTCGTGCTCACAGGTCGCCATGTGGATGCCGGATATATCCGGCGCTCGAAGCGAAAGGGTTAAGTGATTGCATGGGTGATACTAATTTCTGAAATTGTTAATAGTATGGTAAATGTTTATGAAGTGCGTGAACAACGGGCTCCGCCTCTCCCCTGTACCCCCCCCCCCCCCGAGACAAGTTTAACCTCTCTTCACTTATCCACTATCACACTCGGTTTGTTTTTTTTTAACGGGGGAAAACCTTGAGAAGGTGATACCGTCTCCGCTCGGGCGGAAACAGCCTGTGCGGGATTTTACGCTAAAAACCCCCCAGTGGCCTTCTCGGGCGTAAGGGACGGCCACGAGAACGCAGAAGCACACCTTCGCGATCGGCCCCGCCCATTTTCCTCCCCATAAGGGGAAGGGGCTCTCCTCGAATGGAGGGAGGTGATGTGCTCCCACCCAGTGGCGGCTGTTAGTCCGTCCCGCTTTCTCCATCCTACAGTGTCGAGAGGTGGCCCCTTCTCTGAGCTGACCACGACAGGGGTGACACACCTCCTAGTGCCATCAAATCAGCCCGGCAGCCCCGCGGGCAGCGCAAGGGGTCACCGCCGCAATGAACCCATAAACTCGCGCGCCCGTGAGACGTGGGCGTGGATCGAGAGACCTAAATGTGTCCTGGTTTTGTAAGGGGTGAGTACAGTTTCCTTCACCGAACCTCATTTATTTTGGGGCATGACATGACCTCTCTGCAGAGAAATAGAAAATTGTTCAATTGTAATTTGCATAAGGCTTTAGCGATTTTAATTCCACCCACACAGATAGTACAAAACCAAGTGTTCATGTAAAATAGTTAACGAATCTTCGATTATTACAATGTATCCCCAAGTTCTTCTTCTTATAATGTGTTGCACGATTACATCGTCCTCTCTGACGTTATTATGTAAGTTATTGTTGGCGATGTGGCTTGGCATGCACAAATGCGTCGGTGGCACGTGCTACACTTTTTAAGTTTGTTGAAAAGTTTTGAGATGCACACCATGAAGCAATCTTTTCTTAACATTCTATAAACAATACGTGTGTCTGTGTGAACATAACTATGGAATTAACATATAAATTTAAATGTGTAATGCTTCACGGGAGTCGGAACTATAATATTGATTAATCAAGAATTAGCCGAAATTAGTGCTCTTATTGATAGAAACTTGGTTTGAAATGTTTAAAGTGTAGTAGTTTAGATTTTTTATAAGAACCGCTTCCACAGTACGTGAATTACGTGACATACTTTATCAGGAACGCTCTTAATTAAAATTTCTTAAATTAATAAGCGTAGATTTCTTATCACTCGGTTTCTGATTATTAGGCACTTTCCTGATACATTAAATTGAAGTAGCAATTACCTACCTGAAACGAAATTGAAAAGATGAAAAAGAATTTGATATTGTTTATTTACGAAATAAAATTTCATACACAAAATATATGTATATGAAATGAATTGTTTTTTTTTTGAATATTTTTTTTTATATTCAGGATTTAAATTGTTATTAATTACTGAAATATTTATATTGTAAGCGGTTCTAAAACATGGCGTTTCGTCTCGGGAATGGTCTACCATGACTCGTCAGTGGGGCTGACGGTAGACGACCCCTACCCCAGACGCCTGGGTTGCCCCTCAGCGGAGCCTCTTAAGCAGCGAAAGGCTGTAATAACCGCTAGCAAGAGAACTCGCCACCTAGCGGCCGTTACCAAAAACCCAGCTCCCTTTCCCTCCCCCCTCTCACGCTCGTTCTCTCTCTCTCTCTCTCTCTCTCTCTCTCTCTCTCTCTCTCTCTCTCTCTCTCTCTCTCGCTTGTCCTCACCAACCGGAACCATAGAACGCGGTTTTTTGATCGTCTTTCGTGGGAACCTTGGCCTGTCGTACCTTGCCGAATTATCGGTCAGCAGTCGTATTTTATATCCGTCTCGGCGGAACAAGTTGTTTATAACATTTTCTTCCCCATAGTAAGTGCATACAGTAAGTTCACCAACTCACCAACTCCGACCTTGAGGCTGCTTGATCAGCGTGGAAAATGTTAGGAAAACATTAAAATACCTTCACTGTTATCACATTAAATTAATCAGTTAGCCAAATATGTAGCTTACCACATATTATAACTATTATAATGAAATTGTGCCCCCATAATTTATTAAAGATCAAACATTGACAAACTAGCCTATCAGCCCCAGCCTCCTCTACAACTTTTTGGACACAGGGTGTAACAATAATGTAGGAGGTCCCTGAAATGGCTCACTGGTGAAGCGATTTAGAACAAGTTTTTCCTTAGAAAAAATGTTATCCGAGGCTTTGTTAACGAGATATTAACGAAAAATTCCGACCAATCTGAGCGCGAGTCTAAAATAAATTGAATAGAACTCACCTTTTCGAAATTCACCTGCAGCTTGCAAACCTAGGTCACTAGGTCACCATACCGATCACTGTAGCCAAAGTTGAGAGTCGTAACGTCAAGTGCCACCGGGTTATTCGACTGTAATAGCGGAGTGTCTGGTTCTCTTACCAATCTAGGGCTGTTTTCACCCCTTACGCTAAAAAGAAATAGGTATTGAATATTTTTATGAGAACTACAATCTTAGAGAGTTATGTCAAAACTGATGATTGTCAATTCGGGATGTTTCCTTGTAAGTTCACGTCTGCTACGAGACCGAAGCAATTAGGCCGTCAATAACCAAAACGTCTGCTCCGGCGTGTGCCAAGATGCTCGGAAAAGGCCAAGCAGCGTCAACTCAACTTGTGTCGGTAAAATTTCTTTTCCTGCTCCTCAAGGAAAACAACGTAGTTTCTGCTTTCTATCTTGAAACAATGGGTACGTTGGTGGTCCTCTTCTCTTCGGACCCTTTCAAGCGATTCGATGAAACTGCCCGACGGCTTGTTCGTTGCACTTCTGCAAAACACGTGTTTTCCTAGAATGTTAGGTTCCTTTTACCTAAATCTTGTTACCGTGGTGGGAGTGAACTC